GGACCGGTTTTATCCACCCACTCAGTCCCTATATAAACGCGTCCCTGACTGCTCTGTTTCTGTCAGTACTGACTCTGCAGCCGTGAGGATCTGTGTCGTCGTGAAAACATCGTGCAGTACTTTGGAGCGTCTTTGGATCTTGGTTAGTGTCGAGTATGATTTTTTTAGGTATCGCAACCGAAATGCTGCACCTTGTTGTACGTATGTGTTTCTACATTAATTCCCTTTCTTCTTGCTTTAAATGTTCTTTTTATCATTAGTATATCAAACCATGATAAGTTAATGTATCTTTATGAAACCAGATTAAGGACGTTTGCTAACTTGTACATTGTGAATTCTCCCACAAAGATGCCTCTTTACGTTCATACGCGACGCTGGTTACCATGTTCCTGTATGTATGTCAAGCACCGGAAAGATTTTGTTTGTTGCAAAGCACAGTATCTGAGAAATGCCGCCTTTAGTCTACAAATTTAATCTGGAATGTCTAATTTTCCATAGGATCAGGATCAGGAGTTTCACCAACATGACGACCAGAGCTGACTTTCAACCGAAACAAAAGGAGGTTTCTCCGCGTACCCACAAGTGCAGCGAGTGTGGAAAAGAGTTTCGTGACAGTAGAAATCTGAAGCAGCACATGCGCACTCACACCGGGGAGAAACCTTATCGGTGTGAGAAATGCGGCAAGGGCTTCAGTCAGCTGGCTCATTTGAAAACGCACATTCGGACTCACACAGGTGAGAAACCGTATCAATGTGAGGAATGTAGCAGATGTTTCAGTAGGCTGGTTCACCTTAGGACGCATATCAGAACCCACACCGGTGAGAAACCCTACAGGTGTGAGGAGTGTGGCAAGCAGTTTAGTCAACGGGGTCATCTGAAGACCCACATGCGGACTCACACGGGCGAGAAACCCTACAGGTGTGAGGAATGCACCAGTCAGTTTAGCACGCTAAGTAATCTGAAGGGGCACATGAGAACTCACACTGGTGAGAAGCCGTACAGATGTGAGGAGTGCATCATGCAGTTCAGTCACCTGTCAACGCTAAAGAAACACATGCGGACTCACACGGGTGAGAAGACACACAAGTGTGAGGAGTGCAGTCGGTCGTTTAGTTTACTGTTAACACTAAAGACACACATGCGGACTCACACGGGTGAGAAACCGTATAGGTGTAAAGAGTGCAACAAGCAATTCAGCAGGCTGGATCATCTGAAGGGGCACATGCGGACTCACACTGGTGAGAAACCGTACAGATGTGAGGAGTGCAGCAAGCAGTTTAGTCAGCTGTCAAGTCTAAAGGCTCACATGCGGACTCACACTGGTGAGAAACCGTATAAATGCGAAGAGTGCAGCAAGCAGTTTAGTCAACTGTCAAATCTAAAGACACATATGTTGACTCACATAATCAAAACCGTACAAGTGTGAAAAACAAAAGCTTTCGTCATTCAAGTGAGTGCACACTCACACCGCACCGTGCACACCGAGGAAAAAAACTGGTTTAAAAGTTTGTTTCGAGATTTACCAATGAAAACTACCATTTGCTATTTTCAGTTTTGTAGTCTCTTCTGCTCCGGTTGGTTAGAACTAGAAATGTGGTTAGAACTAGAAATGTGGTTAGAACTAGAAATGTGGTTAGAACTAGAAATGTGGTTAGAACTAGAAATGTGGTTAGAACTAGAAATGTGGTTAGAACTAGAATGTGGTTAGAACTAGAAATGTGGTTAGAACTAGAAATGTGTGCAAATGTGATTGTGGGTGTTTGGACTTAGCTAACTAGGTTTCTCTGTTTTAGTAACTAGGTTTCTCTGTTTTAGTAACTAGGTTCCTTTGTTGTAGTAACTGTAAGTTCTTTTTTTTACTTTTTGATTACTCATTGTAGGTGTACATGAACTAGATTTTTAGCATTACAGTCGTTATAAATGCATTTACATGTATTAACGTATTGTTTGTTTTCCTAGTGTTGTGTGAGCTACATGTAGCTGCATGGTTTGTTAATAAATGTTGACACACGTAGTATGTTGTTGTCGATGTTTAGTCTTCAAGTGATTGACGGATGTCCTTTTGCCTAAGGATATTGTTTGATTCCCCTGTGTAAATCAGCACGTGTAACATGGTGCTTTCCTTTATTCATTTATTTATTTATTTCTTCTTTATACAGGGTAGACGCACTCAGTACAATATACTGCTTTACAGGCGTGCCCTGTACAGATAGACATAAACACCAACAACAGTAAACAAAATAACCAAAGGTAACATATATGTACACAACCGAGCATCAAAATCGATGGATCAGGCTGGGTCGAGAGGTCAGAGGTCAGCAATGTTGTTTTATCAGCTTCTTAAAAGAGTGGCCAGATGTGACCACCCTAACTGTACCAGGCAACTCATTCCATGCAAATGCACCCCTGTATGCAAATTTTCTACGGCCCGATTCCAGTTTAACTTTAGGTAGTTGTAATGATAAATACGAATTTTGCCTTGTTGCATAGGTGTGAGAAGTTCTGTCAAATACTCACGGTAAGTACGCTGGTACCTGCTGATGGATTGACTTAAAGACGGTTTGCAGAAGGTGCATTTGTCAGGGAAATCCAACCTAGTGCAGACAGCTGCTCGTTATCTACATGTGATATTCGTGACAGACCGAGGACAATCCGTGCTGCACGGTTTTGGAGTTTCTGGAGATTGTCAGAGAGAGATTTCCCACAGTTGGCCCATACAGTGTCGCAGTACTCAATCTTTGGGAGAACCATACAATTAAACAGCATTTCGTAATCAAGTAAAACCCTCCGGACCAGTTTTATCCACCCACTCATGATCAGTCCCTGTATAAACGCGTCCCTACTAATGGCCTGACTTCCTGGGAAAACGCGCTAGATTCCATTGTGGAATGGGAACAGTCTTACTCCCTCGGTAATCTTGGAAATTCGAAGCTAACAGCCTTAACGAAGGTGCTGTTCGCAATAATTTTCTTCTCAATCTCTTACCCACCTAAATATCTAGTTTTATTACGAAAATCATACATAGCTTTGAAGGCATAACTTTATCGGACCCAAAGTTGCACATTTTCCCCCCAAATGGAAATGACGAGGAATCAAAAGATTTGAACGGAATAAGAAATGCTCTTTGGAAGAAAAAGGAGAGTCCTTGAGAGCATATACTGGGAATAATTGCTCCAACTTGACACCGAAATGAAAGTAAAAGTGATCTAGATCCAGTTTACATCACTAAAGAGCTACTCTCCAAGAGAAAACAGGCGTTATGTGCACTACTCACAAAATTATTGTACCGAGGAAATTCCTCTACGCTTTACTGACGAGCACATTATCATTATGACCTGAATGCACCATGTATGCGGTTAGTACCATGTCGGTGCAATTTGCTTCTTACCTTTTCAGAAACCGCCATTTTGGCTAATGGATGACCGAGTTATGCATGCGTCGAGTCGCCATCTTGTCTGGAGCAAATTCTGGTCAAATGTCGCATTCAACTCCCGATTCTGACAACATGCGGCGCTTGTGACAATCCATTCGACTCCTGTCATCTTTCAACATTATAACTTATTGAGACACAGATGTTGTGAGTCATACGGCAAAACACACGCACATTTTCTGCGGGGCAGAACTGACTCACTTCCCGAATTCTACACCTGTATGGAGACGTTTTACTTTCAGTTTCGATACGTCACGGGGGAGGGGGGTCTACAGGATCACGTGACTTGCCCTCCCTAATCAAAGCCAGCACGTCGACAGAACGTACTGCACCTGCGCGAAACCTGTAATGTATTGTGCATAGCACTTCGACAGAACGTCTCATATAAGGTCGTACTAGCGCATATAAGGTTAACACTCCGTCTGTAGTTTCCAAATGTTATGTAGGAAAAGATATCCTTTTGAACCAGGCAAAATTCTAATGCAACGTTGACCAAAAATCCACCGAAAATCGTGAAAATACAGGGTTCTGCGCAGGCGCAGTACGTTCTGCCGACGTGCTATCAAAGCCCATTCTAATAGTTGACAATTTCTAGCTCCGTCTATAAAACGATTCTGCTATGAATAAAATAGCAGTCTTCTGTCTTTAACTTGTCTAAAGCAAAATCGGCAGCCTTATCATAAAAAGGCAAAACAACGATTCTGAACAATGAAACACGGTTACATTACTGTAACAGTGTTATGTTTTATACCAAGAAATATTATTGACGTTTGCCTACAAAGAAACGGGAAAGGAGGAAAGCGCTACGGACCTGCAAAGACAATAACAAAAATGCATGTACAGTTTTAATGGTTTTAATTTGTAAAATTGCAGACTATATGTCAATGCCTTGCTTGTTTTTCAAGTGACATGTCCGGACGGTTATAAGAAGGATCGCGAAGACCGCTACAAGGCATTTCACCTTCGGAAGTCATACTCCGGATCGGCCGAGACCAGTCGGGCTGACGGAGGCACCCTCGCCATGCCCCGCGACGCCGGTATCGACGACTTCCTCGTCTCCCTGGTGAAAACGGCCAGCGGGTATCGCAACTATTGGTTCGGTGACCCAATGTGGCTACACGATCCGACGACGCAGCGAAAGAAACTCCAGCCTCAGTGGAAGGGACCATATGTGGTCAGGGACGAGCGGCAGTCGGGTTTAAACTACTGAATCGAGAATGAAACCAATCACAAAACTCAGATCGTCCATTACAATAGACTGAAGCAGTGCCACACGCCTCCTGAAAATGCAGCTCAGGCCGCCAACAGGCCGCTTCCAGATAATACAGCTCAGCCCGTCAATGACGCGACCCCTGTACACGCGCAACCGCGAAGCCATCCAGCCCAACGAAGTACGAGGTCAGGTCGTGCGGTGTGGCCGCCGTTGCGATACAGCGACTTTGATGTGGACTGATAATGCTGTACAGTGCGAACTGATGAACATGTACATGACTGTTAAACAGGACTACACTAGCAAGTACATGTGGCATAAAGAAGCTCGCTAGGAGCAGACAGTATTTGTACTCTTTTCTTATGCCTTCCTGTTACTTAGACCAAGCAACGTTGCGTATATATAGCCTACAGTAATACTTGCTGATGTCTATCACTATTTACTAGACAGTGTTCGTTCCGTGTCTCCTGACACCTCGCAGAATCAGCTTTATGGATCTATAGACTTCAGCTTTATTCAGTAGGATCCATAACTGTACTACTGTTTCATTCGTTAACTGATACGGACCGTTCCCCGTTTTGTATTGTTGCATTTTGTTATGTTGAACTATATACATTATAAGCTGTTTTGTTCTATCAGAATAGATTCAACTCTTCACACTTCTCAGCGTCCTGCCTCCTTGTTGAGTCTGCTAAGTAGACGGATTCTACAATCACATCTAGATTTTCTCTAAACACACACACACGCGCGCGCGCGCACACACACAACACACACACACACACACAACACACACACACACGAACACACACACAACACACACACACACACACACACACAAACACACACACACACACACACACACCACACACACACACACATGCATGTGCACAAACAAACACATACATACATACACATACATAAGATATCAACCAACCATGCATACTCTGACAGCGAACACAGTTATGAACAAAGACATATTCAGCTGCAATCATCTGGGTATATTATTGAATAAGCAAAGTAAATACAAAACTTAACCTTTTTAATATAGATCCAGTCTCAATGATGAACGGCAGATCGAACTGCAGTGTGAGCACGTATAACATTAGTACAGACTCATTTACCAGCGTTTGGTTTTTGGTATATTTGTTCGGGTATGGCAACAGCATTATCATACATTGTTCTACAGATCCTCTGATTGATGATGCTTTACATCAGTTGTATCTTCATACGTCTGCCACTGTTCGTGCTCATATCAGATCACCTGATGGTAAACATTACTGCTAAAGTGTGTCGACTCCATATCATATCATTCTTCAAAATCCATTAGCCTTTAATATTGATATTAAGGCAACTTGACGTTTAAAATCTGCCGACATCACGGAAGTACAGTAAATTATTTTTACGTTACAGGCTGTGTAACTCTTGTAGACTTTAAGTCTATGCTTTGCACATATGTGTTACATAAGAACTCCAACCGAGTTCCATAAACATGCCTTTTACCTGATGTTAACTACCGTTTTATAACAACGAAGATGATCGTGAAGAATGTTGTTCTTCTGTAACGCGACATTTAACTGTACAGAACCGGGGTCTAATCTTTACTTATCGTTACCTATGGATATATGAGTAAATTCTTATTACTAATAGATTAATGATTAAGGCCCTGTTCATGTGAAGTCACCCGAACCGCGATTCGGGTAACTCGCATTCCTCACATCTAATACACGTACCACACATACCTTTTAAACCGTGCCCGATCACGATTCTCGGAAACTGCATTCATTGTTCTTTGATGAAAACACGTAAGGTAGCGTGTTATTAATGTCAGAGGTCTGCTTGCTGATGCCCCCCTCCCAGCGTATATCGGCCGAATGCCGATGTGGTCCCGCCAGAGGCGGTGAAGCTCGTCCCAGAACTGACACATTATTTGACCATTACTGCTCTTTAAGTTGCTGCCACGTAAAATTTGGTATTGCATATAAATAAAAAATATCACTCCGTAATCCATGAATGACCAGGTGAAGTCACACTGAAATCACATTGCGTTCAGACGCAAATCGCGATGCGGGAAAACCGATTCGAAACCACCTCTCGAAGTGGTTTGGGATCGAAGCGCTTTCTATGTGATTTGGAGCGTTCAGATGGAGCCATTTGAAACCGGCTTCGGGGTAAACCACATGTAAAGCGCCTTCAATGACTTCACATGAACAGAGCCTATATCTTTACAATGCACGTGGGTCACAATGATAAACATCAGGTGGTGTACACATTGACAGGCTGATGGTGAAGTAACATGCAGTTTCTAAATACAGACATGTCATTGAGATTAAATCTTAAATCTAAGATTAAATCTTGAATTATTTTCTTCCGTGCTTTATTGTTCAATTTTCCTTTTTGTTTTCGTGTTTCGTACCGAAGGTGTTGACCACCTCAGAGGTGTCTATGTTCGTCCATTTTGGCTTCGTCTGAAGTGATAATGTTGTCTGACGTTTTCAAAATCATATCCAGTTGTTTGAGTAACTGCTTTTTGGCATACAGTATGCTCACTGACAGATTATGGAGGTACAGCACAATAAGTCATTAAAATTCGGCCCTTTAATTCTTTACGCTAGAATTACTTCACGTACATCCTTAAAAATGTTGTCTATGTCAATTATTTGGTAAGGAGGTGAGTAAGTTGCAAGTAAATGGCTAATTAACATTCGGCCCTTCTAGTCTTGGTGCTAAAATTAAGTCACAAACATCATTAAATTTTGTCCACGTCACTTATTTGGCAAAGAACTACCAAATAGACTGGGTGCATGGATATTTTTTTGCAGACTACTGTCGTGATTCAAAACAAAGATGATACAATTGCAAGTAAATGGCTAGTAAAATCATAGCAGTGAGCGTTCTACGATAATTTGGTGTATGTTTGCAAAAGACGAGAAGGCAGTCGCCAGGAAGCCAGGTTTAATAAAGTAGCCTCGAGTCATTTTTATTGTATGGCCAAACCAAGCATAAAAGGCCTTAAAAATCTATAAAAAAAAGAACAGCGTGCTTTACATTTTGGCCTGAGGAATACTTTAGGACTGACGGAATGTCAACTTTTCATCAACTTGTCGGTTTATTTCGGTTTAAAAATTATGATACAATAGAAACTGCTTTTTCCTGACGTCGACATCATACTCAGATATGCTCATTCAAACGTTTATTATGATCACAGGCCTGACGGAAAAACGGGGCATGTAGACTTTTGTAAGCTCAAAATTGTAATCAGCCGACAAAATCACAAACCTTCTCGGACAAAGATGTCGTCGTTGACGTTCACTCCCCAGACAATATTGTCTCCTGATGAGATCTGCTTGAGTTTCCCCTGGATGTGCTCCCAACCGCTGCCTGATGACGCCTCGTTTCCAAAGGTTCCCGTGCGGTAGAAAATGTCGTCGTTTGAGTTCACGCCCCAGACGCCGGCGGGACCAACGGACACGAACTTCAGCAAGCCTTCTATTTGTTCCCAACCGGTACCTGGTGTACAAACAAGGCCATGGAACTTGAGGCTTTACATAGAATTGCTAACTATGAGTAACTGATATATAATTGCATTGAACTTGCTATTGTTAAATATTCCAATGGACGCATTTCTTTGTGGTACTATCCTTTAATATCAGGGCGGACACATTTAATACGGCACTTTGCCGCTATTGATAAAAAGGCGCTAATTACAACAAAAGGTGACTAACTGTTGCCACTTGTGCTACTGTAGTATTATCTCGTCAGGTATGCAGAGGAGAACGTAGAACGTCTAAAATCTCGTTTTTAGCGCATGTTTTAGGTCGTTCAGGGACACAGGATAGCTTGAAAATGGAGTTTAAATACTTGCAACAAAAACCTTTTAAAAAAAGTCAAGCAATAACACTCCCATATTTCTAACTACCTAATAAGCAATGCCTTTACCGGCTGGTTGCTCCGTACTGATTCCTGTCCGTCGGAAGATGTTGTCGTTTGAATTGACGCCCCAGAGCTGGTTAGTGGTGGAACTCACGTCCAGCTGCTTCAGCTTTCCTCCGACATGGAGCCAGTCGGTCCCCGTAGGGTTAGTGGATGTCACTCCTGAATGGATGCCAAGTTGCTTACAAACATGATGCTTATTACTCGACAAATACACTTAAGCAACTAAAAGAAATGCCAAAATACAATGTATAGCTAGTCAAGTATTCGTGTCTTTAACCAGAATTTTTTCCACCAGGGCACTTGGCGGTCGTAGTGTGACCGTGTGGTTACCAGAGATTTAACAGATTGTTCTTTCCGAAAATATATCTGGCAATAATTTCATATAACCGACTCTTGTGTTGCTAGGAATTTTTTGTCAAAATTAGGTAATCTTGGTTGAAACAAGAAACTTTTCAAATTTGTATGTACATTACCAACATCTTGTGTACTTTTATTAAAAAATTCTATCAATAACTTACGCTAATCTCATGATGTCATTGGTCAAAATCCAACATCACGGACCATAACATTAGATTAGACGTTTGATTCAGAAACATTGTAGCGCAAATGAATTCTAAATGCCAAAATGCTTGAGTCTTATCCGTAAGTGTAACGTTTAAGTAGTCTGTTGGCTTTAATTTGGGGCGTTGGGATTTGCGTTTTTGTTACCAATATCTACTAGTATATTCTTTCCTTTTTTCAATGTGCATAGATTAAACATTTTGACCAACTCAAAAGTCAATACGGAATCAAAATACCCTTTTCTCTAAATTTTTCAGTACTCTACATTTTACTAAAAGTTGAAAGAAGATAAAAAAAATCATAATGTGTTACTGAGGGCATTTTTCTGAGGCTGCAGTATCAATGTATCATCAAAAATCATGTAGTAATAACGTCGAATATGTCTATGGAATATCTCATGACGTTGTTGTTCTTAAGGGATTTTCAAATTCTGACCTTGTCGAATGAAGATGTCGTCATTGGCGTTGACGCCCCAGACGGAGTGTCCTGATGAGATCTGCTTCAGTTTCCCCTCGATCTTCACCCAACCGCTGCCCGAGGACGCTAAATTTTCGAAGGTTCCCGAACGATAGAAGATGTCGTCATTGCGATTCACTCCCCAGACTCCCCTGGATCCAACAGACACGAACTTCAGCAGACCGTCAACTGACCTCCATGCCGGGTCTGCGAAAGGCAATCACATTGTACAACGTAGTAGTCGATAAAAATAGCAACATTTATAAGCGATGTTAAAGGCTACTTTTTTGTAATCTCTCAATTAAATTTGAATGGGCATGGGACCATGACACTGTTAGCACTGTCAAAAGGTTCTCTTAGTTATTGACACATTAGATCTTTTCTCTGTAAAATTTGGCGCATAAGAGTTTGTTTAATGAACACTTAAGCACGAAGCAGAAACAGTATTTGCACAACACACAATGCTTGTACTATTGGGATTTTGAACTTTTGTAATTGGAGTAACTTGATAGCACCAAGCCAAAAGCAAAAACAGGGCATATAATTTTAGTAATCAAACGTAGTCATTACGTATAGTAAGGTAGTAATTCCGCGTAACTTCAGTTAAAGTTTAGTTTTTGACTAGATATTAATGTCCATGTCCCCATTTACGTGTCTGGTAATTATTACCATGTAGCAAAGTTTTTCCATTCACCTGCTTGCCTGTCAAACACTAATTGAAATGGTTAATAAATAAATAAATATAGACTGAAGTGTTTAATCTTCTGACCTGTCGGCTGTGTACGTAGGAATATGGAGTCGCCTGAGTTGACTCCCCACGCCTGCCTGCCGCTGAGACCAGCCTCAACCTGCTTTAGTTTTCCTGGAATCTGCCTCCAACCAGTTCCAGCAGGGGTGCTCGGGCTCATTCCTTAGAAAAGAAAAAAGGGATTATATATTGAACACCCTTGGGTACAGTAAGGTCTCATTTGATGACTATATATGAATGAAAAAAGTCATCAAAATGGCTCGGGGTAGCCCGTCTCGTTGAAAATTGTTGCCATTTGAAACAGTGAATGTCATATTACAGGAGGACATTACTCTTCACTCTCTGGTTCCATACTGTACTACATTAGTGTATGTGGGGTAAGAATAAGCTAGTGTATATTGCTTGCAATGATTGTCTATTTAGGAACAGCTTTAATTGTCTGGTTACCCTAATCACCTGTGCTAGTTTCTTGTTGCCTCCGGGGGAGGAGACATCCTTCCGCGAAAGGGCTTTGTGAGAGATTTAGATTTTCACGTACGCAGCTGTTTCTCGCGTTTGGGTGGACGGATTCTTTTGAGACTCGGTGTATGTTTTGCTATTGGGCAGTAGATGATGCACGTTCTTTTGTTTTTATTGAATATGTGTTTTCGGGTGGAAAATGGAGCATTTTGATGGCGTGAAAGTGGTCGCGACCGTTGATCTTTGGCGTGTGTCAGGTATGGGTCGGTCTCATCCACGAAGATGATCTCTCGCACAGAGGGGTGTCCAGTCTCAATAAATTCTTTAATCGTCAGACGTTTCAGCTAGTATCCACTAGCTTTCGTCAGTGACTGAGAGACCAGAGGGGAAATGCAGGTTCATAAGCACAAACTATTGATTGATATGCAAATAAAGTGAAGACAGATTTATCGAAGTCAAAAATGGAACAAAAGTCAGACAAGTCAAGACAAGATAATGCAAATCAGTCAGAAAGCTCCTGTTATACAGAACAGGAGCTTAAGTGTTTTCTGTCCTCGGGGCTGGGAGTGCCAAATACCAAGTGCCGGAGAGATCCACCCGTAGCCCCCCCTTCCCTGTTGAGGGTGGGGTTGTACATTGTACATTCTTTCATACATGGCCTCTTTAACACCCCGTTCCCACCAGCGTGTTTCGCGGTCTAAGATATCAGTGGACTCGAGTTTGAAAGAGTGACCCTGGTTGTGTTGTAGGTGGTGGAAAATAGCTGAGGAGTAGCCGTTAGCACTAGGTCTGCAATGTTCTTTGAATCTTACTTTGAGTGGTCGACTTGTCTCTCCGATGTACGTAGGTGTTGTTACAATTGGGCTCCTCACATTTTAAGTCTGTAAATAACATTCGCCTTGGTACCTTTGTGAGGTCGGTCCTTATCAGGGTGTACCAGTCTTTGTCTGAGGGTTGAGTGAGGTTTGAAGTTAGTGGCTATGTTGAAGTTTTGGAAGATCCGTCGGAGTTTCTCAGATACTCCTTGGACATATACGGAATAGTGATGTTGACCTTGTTTTTGTTGGTCACTGGTTTGCACTTCTGGGTTTTCTTAGACTGATCTGAAGGTTTGAGTGCTTTGTTAAAAGTCCAATTTTGGCAGCCACACTTAGCCAGGCCACCCCAGAGGTGTCTATGTTATTCCATTTTGGCTTCGTCTGAAGTGATAATGTTGTCTGACGTTTTGAAAATCATATCCAGTTGCTTGAGTAACTGCTTTTTGGCGTACAGTATGCTCACTGACAGATTATGGAGGTACAGCACAATAAGTCATCAAAATTCGGCCCTTTAATTCTTTACGCTAGAATTACTTCACGTACATCCTTAAAAATGTTGTCTATGTCAATTATTTGGTAAGGAGGTGAGTATGTTGCAAGTAAATGGCTAATTAACATTCGGCCCTTCTAGTCTTGGTGCTAAAATTAAGTCACAAACATCATTAAATTTTGTCCACGTCACTTATTTGGCAAAGAACTACCAAATACACTGGGTGCATGGATATTTTTTTTCCAGACTACTGTCGTGATTCAAAACAAAGATGATACAATTGCAAGTAAATGGCTAGTAAAATCATATCAGTAAGCTTTCTACGATAATTTGGTGTATGTTTGCAAAAGGCGAGAAGGCAGTCGCCAGGAAGCCAGGTTTAATAAAGTAGCCTCGAGTCATTTTTATTGTATGGCCAAACGAAGCATAAAAGGCCTTAAAATCTATTAAAAAAAAGAACAGCGTGCTTTACAATTTGGCCTGAGAAATACTTTAGGACTGATGGAATATCAACTTTTCATCAACTTGTCGGTTTTATTTCGGTTTAAAAAGTATGATACAATAGAAACTGCTTTTTCCTGACGTCTAAATCACACTCAGAGTTGCTCATTCGAACGTTTATTATGATCACAGGCCTGACGGACAAAAAACGGGGCAGGTAATTAACCCTTACTTATGTTGACTTTTGTAAGCTCAAAATTGTTATCAGACGACAAAATCACAAACCTTCTCGGACAAAGATGTCGTCGTTGACGTTCACTCCCCAGACAATATTGTCTCCTGATGAAATCTGCTTGAGTTTCCCCTGGATGTGCTCCCAACCGCTGCCTGATGACGCCTCGTTTCCAAAGGTTCCCGTGCGGTAGAAAATGTCGTCGTTTGAGTTCACGCCCCAGACGCCGGCGGGACCAACGGACACGAACTTCAGCGAGCCTTCTATTTGTTCCCAACCGGTACCTGGTGTACAAACAAGGCCATGGAACTTAAGGCTTTACATAGAATTGCTAACTATGAGAAACTGATGTATACTTGCATTGAACTTGCTATTGTTAAATATTCCAATGGACGCATTTCTTTGTCGTACTATCCTTTAATATAAGGGCGGACACATTTAATACGGCACTTTGCCGCTATTGATAAAAAGGCGCTAATTACAACAAAAGGTGACTAACTGTTGCCACTTGTGCTACTGTAGTATTATCTCGTCAGGTATGCAGAGGAGAACGTAGAACGTCTAAAATCTCGTTTTTAGCGCATGTTTTAGGTCGTTCAGGGACACAGGATAGCTTGAAAATGGAGTTTAAATACTTGCAACAAAAACCCTTTAAAACAAAGAGTTAAGCAATAACACTCTCATATTTCTAACTACCTAATAAGCAATGCCTTTACCGGCTGGTTGCTCCGTACTGATTCCTGTCCGTCGGAAGATGTTGTCGTTTGAATTGACGCCCCAGAGCTGGTTAGCGGTGGAACTCACGTCCAGCTGCTTCAGCTTCCTCCGACATGGAGCCAGTTGCTCCCCGTAGGGTTAGTGGATGTCACCCCTGAATGGATGCCAAGTTGCTTACAAACATAATGCTTATTACTCGACAAATACACTTAATAAACAATGAATACTAAAAGAAAATGCCAAAATACATTGCATAGCTAGTCAAGTATTCGTGTCTTTAACCAGAATATTTTCCACCAGGGCACTTGGCGGTCGTAGTGTGACCGTGTGGT